TATTGGATAATTCTTATTTTTAACATACATGATATATGTAAACATAAATTGTCACAGTTTTTTGTAAACAGACTTGTTTTTATGTTCGATTTTGATTTACTTTTATTTGATATACATTACATAAGTCAATTTTCAAAACAGTCAATATCTAATTTTTAATGTCTAATTTTTAACTTGACCGGATCTCTGATTGAGAATTTTAATTACAGTATTTTATATAAATAACGTAAGTTATTATTTGATTCTGTATCTCTTATTTACACTAATAATATTATTTTAATACATCTACTCGTTCTACAGAATATCATAAAATACTCGTAAGTAATAAATTCTCAAATCGTTTGATACAAGTCTACGACAAACTGGATTCTCGATTTCAACCGAGAAATTTGGCAAAACATTTTATTAGGTATACAACTTTGCTTCCGCCGTTTTTTTTTCCGAAATTCGAGGCTTTATTGTAAAAACCTGATTATACATTTATGATTCAAAGTATTGTCCATCGCTGGCCACTACTTTCTTCCATCTTTCGGATAGCGTACGAATCCCGCGTCGAAAAAACTGGTCATCTTTTGAGGCTATCCACGAATCGAATTTTTTACTTCTTCATAAGACCGGAAGTGCTGGTCAGCCAGGCCGTGTGCCATTGATCGAAACAAGTGATAGTCAGAGGGAGCAACGTCTGGAGACGGGTGGGGTAGGACTTACCATTTCAACGTTTCCAAGTATGTCTTGACCACTTTCGCAACATGGGGTCGAGCATTGTCATGCTGCAAAATCTTTAAACTTTATCGTGTCTCTCGTTGTATTGCGGCCGTTTGTCTTTTAATGCTCGGCTCAAACGCATCAATTGCGTTCGATACCGATCGCCTGTGATTGTTTCAGTTTTAACAGTTCATAATACACTACGCCGAGCTGGTCCCACCAAATACAGAGCATGACCTTGGACATCAAAATCACCGTCTTGAAGCGTTGAAATCACTTACCACGTTCTTTCACTAATAGCGGCCTCACCATAAGTATTTGAGAGCATTCGATGAGCCTCAGTCGCAGATTTCTTCATATTGAAGCAAAAAATTAAAATCTCCCGCAAATGACGAGAATTTGGCTCGTAAATTGACATTTTCAATCGAGAATAACTTTATGATGCAGACACAAATCGACTAATGTTTCTATGGGGTTATGTTGACAGATGCCCAAGTTTATTGTATGACATCTATGATCTATTTATTTCGACCACCACTTACCGCTAAAGCCATCTATAGGAAAACGGCGGAAGCAAAGTTGTACACCTAATATCGAGGGACATAATGTAATCTATTGTTGATTGAAATATTTAAAATCTTCTTATCTTATTGTAATCTGTCATAATGTTTTTTGACGTTTGAATTCTTTATATATTGACATTTATATATTGACTTTATATATTGACACTGATGATGATTTTTTTAAATTTTCATTGTATTTGTTATTTAGTTTGTTAATATTGTATTTCTGCGTTTATTAACACTGAAGAAAGTTTTGTAAGTCGAAATGTTTATGTAAAATATTATTTAATATTTATATTCTTATTTTAATTATAATAATAATTTAAAGTTATTCTCTCTCTAATTATAAGGCCGAAATAAGTCACGACATTGTTTAATTTAAAAAAAAATATATGTGCATTTTTACTCTAATATAACTTTTTCTCTAGGGCGGAAACGTGAAAATTCTTTGTATATATGTGTGTATATGTACGAACATACATATATAAAATTTTCACTTTTCATGTTTCCGCTCTAGCAAAAAATCACATGATCACTCTTGGGCCTATATTCTGTGACTGTTTTACATACCGACAGTTGTCGATGTCGTTGCGCAGTCTTTTTCACCATATAAAATATCTGCGCTACAACATCGACAACTGTCGATAGATATGTAAAGACAGTTACAGAATCGCGCCTCTTTGGCCGAACTGCACATATCATGTTATTGCAGAAAGTCTACAAGAGTTATCATACATAAAATAACGTAAACTGCATAGCTTAAAGCTGTTGGATCATTCAGCATAAAAGTATCATATTGATTTATATAAGATATATAGATTTATATAAGATGATCCAACGGTCTTGTGCAATGCTTATATATATATATAGCTTATATTTCATGTGTAATTGTTATTTTATGTGTGATTGTTCCAATAAAATATATATAAATAAGATTACTAACTATAACTCATTATATAACAATTATATAACATTATTTATATTATAGTCACGTAACTATATGACATTTCAGCATGTTATGTAACTATGCAATAGTTATTACATTGTTTATTACATTATATTTATTGTATATAACTATAATTTGCAGTGAGTAAGAAATTACAAATTATATAAATGTTACATGTAATCAATACGTTCTATTACCTGTTACATTCTGTTTTATTACAACAATATAATAGTTATATAACTGTGTTGAAAAATTACAATTTTTTTAACATAAAAGTGATTATAACTTGGAAATGATTTATTCGGATCTACTATATGTTTATATAATTTTTTTCTTCTTTTTGGTTCCGAATTATTTTCCGAAATATTGCAGGTGATTTTCCCGACACCCTGTATATGCAATATTATATATGATTTTTTTCTTCTATATTAGAAACTATACCAATGTATATATTGTGTGCACAATTGTAAAAGTCGCATAGACTGTATTATATGCAAAAAATATAAAATTATTTCGTTTCCCCAAAGAAAGAATACGCCAGCAATAGTTTGAAGCATATAACAGAAATGAAAAAGAAATATAAATTGTATAGTAATATGTTTGTGTAAAATGTTACTTGTTCTTAATCTGTTAATATTTTAGCAAGAATATGCAATTTTCATTTTGAAGAAGATTGTTCTGAGTTGAAGTGGACAAAGCTACATTCAATAAATATATAAAAAAAAACAGATGTGTAGATTGAAAAAGAATTCTATATTAGACAAGACTTCTATTCTATACAAGAATTCTATATTCCTACTTTAGTGTTAAACATTATGAATAGCCTGCACTAGAGCCCTTATAACAGAGTCTGAACACTGTATTTGCGCGCATGCTCGTCCGTCAAAACCGGAAATGTATCGTCGTGTTTGCCGCGCAATTCAAATGACTTACTGTTATACGCGACATAAAGTTGAATAAAGTTGAATTCAAACTATTTAAATGAAGGAATAGCCAGCAGGAATCTGGCAGCACCGGCGTTTGTCTGTGTTTATTTGTATTCATTGGCCTGTATTCAGAACGCGCTTACAACACTAACATACTATAATTTATGTTATGCATATTATAGTATATTTTAGAAATAAAAGCATGCTTTTATCGATAAAAGCGCGTTCTGAATATGGGCAATTTTCTTTCTGTGTGCGGCCTTGGACAGGCACAATTGAAAGTTTTCTCTCTCTGGCGGGAATGAAGTATCGCTACTGAACGCTGCGAGATTAAACTTTTGAACAGTATTGTCGCGAGTCTATCTTAACTATCTTAACAAAAAATAGGAAACTCTCAAATACACTCACATTAAAAAAAAGATTTACGGAATTTGAATAAATGTTTAGATGGAACCATTTGTTTTATCTAAATATTTATTCAATTCCGTAAATCTTTTTTTGAATTGAACAAATATTTATTTACTGTAAGTAAATGATTTCATTGGTACTATCTAAACAAATATTTATTCAAATTCCGTGAATTTTTTCAGTGCAAAATTGTGCAATATTCAGAATGTAATTTGATGAAAAATCATCACAGACAAAAAATAAAAAAAGGAATCTCTATTTTTAAAATTCGTAATTGATTTCAATCTAATTAATCCTTTACAGAGCTATGCGAACAGATATCGGTCAAATCTGAAAATTGTACAAATTTCACAAGCTCTATAATATGAGGTAAAAATCATATAAAAATGCGGTTTACAATCGAAAGAATATATCTTTAAATTTATAATCTATATCTTTAAATTGTATTTTATTGAACATTGTGATTTTTTTTTCACTGAATTATTGAATGTTGAAGAAAAAAATGATCACGTTTGTTTCAATGTTGAATAACTCGGTGAAAGAAATCGCGCAATGTTCAATAAAAAAATAAATTAAAGATAAAGATTCACTCTATCGACTACTAAACCGCACATTTGTATGATTTTTATTTCACACCATCTTTGTAAAATTTGTATAAAATTTTCAGATTTGATGAATATCCATTTGTATCCGTGTATTTTCATAAAAAAAATCAGTCAGCTTGAAATATAAGTTACCAATTTTGAAAATAGAGATTTCAACTTTTAAAATGCTTTTCGAAAAATTTCTCGTTATGACCTTTTTATGAAGTTACTCTATCTTGAAATTATAAAAAAATCATTTAGAATTAGCGTTAAAAAAGCCAAATTCAAAATTTACATATATATCTGCGAAAAATGATTACGAAATGTTCAAGAAAGCGTTATAAAGTTTAAAGCCATTTCAAATGCTTTAAATCATTTCTATATAAACATTTCTATATAAAAATATTATTACAAAAAAACAATTTGAAGTGGATTTTGCAAAATTTCAAAATAAATTTCAATTTTGATGACGTGCACGGAATAAAAAATTTCCTTAATTCTGTGCCCTGAAAAAAGTTCTCATATCCTCTCTCAAGTTTCTATCTGATTATACTCAAATATCTGGATGACAGAAAGAAGCCTCATTGCTTTTTGCACGATGGCTAGCTTCATGGCATCATGACTTCTGATTGATTGAATAAATTGACTATTGCGCATCTTTGAAATTGGTTTACCTTGTCTTCTTCCATCATGGATTCGTCATTGTTCTCTAAAAAATACAGCATCGGATGGTTTCTCAAACGAGTAACAACATTTCCATAATAACATTTTACACGCAGTTGAATTGCAACGAAGCATTATAACGATGATTGTGTTTCGTCAAACGATACATAATAAATAAATTAGTTATCGTCAAAAGCGTGCAATGATGATCAATGATAACGACATTGACAGCTGGAAAACGGGATTCGATTCTAATGAATTTGTTCGAAAGAGATTTGGTCTCGTCGATCATGTCGATTCCGGCGAAGATATAACTTTGATGCGAGTGAAAAACTCGAGTTCCAGTTCCGAGATCCGTTATATCAATCCTGCCATTTATACAGAATCCATCAACGAAGAAGGATCTAAGAGCGATCGTGAACAAGAAGGTTGGTCAAATCTAAATTAGAAGATCGATGAAACCCAAGCAGAACAAGTCAAAATGACATTAAAATGAATCGGTAATGATTGAAAAATGATTTTTAATGATTGACATTTTAGAGTCATTTTGACATAATTTTGATATTATAATGACTTATTGTTCTGCTTAGAAACTCAACCTTTTAGATCCTTTTTGAATAAAATTTAAAAAATTAAAATAATTTCTAATCGAATCAGATAAATAATAAGTAAAAGAATAGTAAAAGTAGTTAAAAAGAAAGAAGAATCTTTAGCAGAACATAAAGTCAAAATGACTCAAAAATTAATAAAAATCATTTTTTAATCAATAATAATGCATTTTAACATCATTTTGACATTATCATGACTTGTTTTTCTATTTGACAATTGCAAAACCAGAATTAATATAGAACAGCTTTATTATAATCAGTAAACATTTTAATAGGAATATTCTCCTTCTTTTAGGGATTCATATTTCTTCGCAATTGAATTCCTGTAGCATACTTTGCGAGTTCATTTCTTTGTAGGATATTGTAACGGAGACTCAATTGACACAAATCGTTATGATGCTTCGACAATCGACCTATTATCTGTCGTCGCAAAGGATACAACGAGCACTGATCACATAAATGAACATCTGGGACAGAATACCTACAGGTGTTATTCAACATCCTTTCTAGATACTACGTTGCCTCTTGAATTGTCCACTACTCAATCCACAATCTCGTCTGGAAGAAATACACGAATGGAGCGACGATGCAAGATTGATAGCATCTGTGTTGATCAAAATAAAGTGAACATTGATCAGAATGAGACGACAAAACATGACAAGTATGTTGTTTCACAATACAATTTTTATTTAATCATCGAAGTATATATGTGAGAGTATGATGTCGCAGATATGATGTCCTAGACGGTCGCCAGATCGCACGAATTTCCACGACGTCGGTTGACTCAAGTGTCAGCAATCATCATCAGATGTCAGACATTGACAGAAGAAGCGCCCATTCAGAATGGATGCGCAAGAAACATGAGGCCGCACAGCGGACGAGAGAGAAAAAGGAACTCGCTTTGAAGAAGCGACAGGAGGAAGAAGAGAGGGAAGCGCAAAAAAAGGAAGAAAAGGCGCGTCTAGAAAGGGAAAATTTTCTCAAGTGGATCGAAAAGAAAAGGCAGCAGGAACTGGACAGAAGAGCGATGCTCGAGAATGAGTTAGAATTGCAGAAGCATTTGAAGGAGATTGAAGATAATCTTGCCGGTGCAAAGATCACTTATCTTCGTCGGTGGTTTCATAAGAAGAAGGAGGAAGAAAAGGGTATAATACGTCGCTTGCTTCGATGCTATGCTTACATCGTGCACTTGATATACATATAACTAGTAACTTTCTATTAAATTCTTTTAATTTCAGCAATATATTCAAAGAATCCACTAATTATTAAAATTAGTACAATAAAAATTAGTACAATATACATTAAATACACGTGTACATGTTAATACATATTGTCAAAAATTAATATAATTTAATAGAAAGTTCTAATTAGTACTTGTATCAAGTGCATGATATATTTAAATTAAGACGCAGGCGTTCGACAAAACACTAAGATGATAAAAATTGACATGCTCTTGTTTTGCAGCCCAGCGTAAACAGCAGGAGACAAGACAGAAAAAGATGGATGAGGAGCGCGAGAAAAGGTTAGAGCAAAGCACAAGGGCATACGAGAAGTGGCGAGAAAACTCTAAGAACAAACCTAAGCCTGCCACCCAAGGATTACTTCGTATGTAACATACAATATAGTAACATATAATAGTTAAATAACAAAATGATCGATGCAAATGCAAGCTCAAAGATGAGTAAGATGATTCTTTATTATTACTTCTTCAATTATATGTAAACTGACATATCGCTTCCTTACTTTAAAAATGACAAAATTAAAAAAATTAAGTTTCTCAGAGAAGAGTTTTCTCACAAGAGAAAACTATTTTTTAACTTAACAAAAAATTATTAATTAAATAACATCTGCAAAAAGAATATATTCTCCCAGCAAATGAGAATGAATTAAAATGGATTACAATTTTTTTTTAACGCAGTTTAAATCCATGAAAATGGATTGAATGGATTGAAATAGATTGGATTTGAGCTGACATTAGTTTAACATTCGAAAAGAAAATTCATATTTAAGGGTTACAAATTTTATTCCTAAGACTATTCCATTTATAATAATTATATCTGAAATTAACTACTTTAAATTAGTATTAAAAAACGCTTTAGTGGGATTCGAACTGGGATTATGAATCTTCTGTTACTTGCTACACTACTTCTTCAATTGGTAAATGTTATTTATTCTCTACTTCAATTACAACCAGCTAAATTAGTAACGAAATTATATAGATATAATAAAAATATCATCATTTAATAAATATAATAAAGTATAAATAATTTACATTGCTGTGAGACAACATTAGCTAAATGTCGGATAATCTAATCTCGCTTGACCGATGTGATCACGCGATGTGATTAGCTTAATATTCGGGCTGTGTTCGATTTACAAATGTTCACATCGATCATTTATTTTACTCCTAATCAAAGAGAAATAAAAGAACATAGTTCAATTATTTTTACGTTATAACTTTTTTGAACTTAGTTGATTAAAACGAAAAATTTACTACTTATAATTTTGAATAATTTAAGTAGCATTTATAGTTCATTTTAAAAGAAAAACTTTTTATTTAATTGGATTAAAAAATTGCATTTCCTATTCAGAATTGAGTAGTTTATTCACGATTCACAGAAATGGCTGATATTATTTTTAGATTCAACTGGATTGAAAAACTGCATTTGCTATTCACAATTTTGAATTGAGTAGCATTAATAATGCACACAAAATACTATAATATTATTTTTAGATTGAAAGGCATGGAGATATGCTCTATGCAATTCCTGTAAATGAATAAAAATGCATTCAGAATTGAAAAAGCATAGACATTTGTTTTATGCAATTTTTATAAATGAATAAACATATATTCAGGATTGAAAAGGATTTATTTTAACATTCATACATCCTTATTTTTAAAAATCTGAATCCATTTTAATCCATTTCAATTTTTCTCGTTTGCTGCGTTGATAATATAGACAGCTTTAGGATCCCCTTAAGAGGATGTTGAATTGATGGTTGAATTTGATTGAGATCAATAGACCTTTTTTAATTCCAAATTCGATAATGACATCTTTCATTCTTATACTTGTGTCTCAAATACATTCATCTGTCCTTATCTAACATATTGCAACGCCATCTCTTAGAAGATCGAACACCTACTGCTAGACACAATTATTGCTTTATTTATCATCCCGAGTCTTCGCTTAGCGTTCATATACACATCATTTATAGATTAATATAAATTTTCTTTTAAATAAATCTTTTTTTTTAAGCTTTTAATCTTAATCTCATAAACTCAGTATTTGCGCATGTAATGCGCTGATGAGCGCTGCACTATTTGATCACGAGTTATAAAACTTTTGTATTAAGGAAACATTTATATAAGTTGATAGTTCTACGAATTGAAAAAAATAGTTTTTAAATAAATTTTTAACTTTTTTTCCGATTTTGATATAAAAATCTATTGCAGCATTCCTAAATTTTGCGTCTACTTTAATCCAGTAAAAGGATTTCGTTCAATAAATTCGGATATTTATATCAATTTGCAAAATCCCGACAATTTGATTATTCTAGTATCTCCTTAAATTGTTGATTTTTTTCTTATACAATGTTTTAAAAACAAGAATGCATATTCATGATACTATAATTTTTTATACTTTGTTGCAAAATTACTTTTTCTCTATAGGGAAATTATATTATAAGCTTTTTTTTAGAAGACACTTTCTTGGAATCCGGTCGGATACCCGAAAAATATTGAATATCCAACTCAAAGAAATTGTCCTCCCCCCCCCCCCCCCCTGCTTAAGAAGCGCACGACTTTCATAATTGTATTGTTGCACATGGGTTTTCCACGCGAAGCAACTCTCACCCTCCCTCTCCCTCCTCCTCTGTTTAAGGGACGCATGACTTCCACAATTGTACTGTTGCACATGGATTTTGATTTTCTACGCAAAGCGACTTTCACCTCTCCTGTTTAAGGAGTGCATGACTTCCATAATTCTATTGTTGGACATGGATTTCAATGTTGTGCAATAATACAATGTCCTATGTCCTTTAAATAGGGAGGAGGAGGGAGAGGAGAAATGAGAGTCGCTTAGCGTGAAAAGTTGTGCGCTCCTTATACAATAATTAGCAACAACTTTGATTGTTAATAATTTTTTAATAAAAGACGACCGCGGGCTAAAACCTTTTGAAAATCACTTAGGGTCATGATTTTAACCACATATGTCAATGTCAAAGTCAAATTGGAGAATGTTCCCCTATACTAAATAATTACCAAAATTTCAAACTTTCACGATAGTAAAGGTAATAAAAAATTTTCTCAATTTTTTTGGGCACATGACAGACTTATAAAGTGAGAAGAAAATTTGTTATTTTTTTCAGCTGATAGTTAAAATTATCAAACTCATATATAAACTCAAAATATATAATAAGTTTTTGAAAGTAAAGTTTTCAATCTTTTAAAATCCTTTTTTAAATTTAAATTTTGTTCATTTTTTAATGAAGTTATGATACTCTTAATAGTAATACAGAAAAACATTAATAGTAATACAGAAAACTGTTGTTTTATTTGCATCAATCCAATAACTTATTTTGATTAAACAATAATTCAATTTCAAATATAATATGTTATTTGTTGATTATCAAAATACAAGGAGAGGATATATTTTACAAATTTATTTTATCAATTGCAAATGTTGTTTTATTAAAAAATATTTTTACTGAGAAATACATTTTAATACATGGTTTGCAAAAATTCATGCAAAGACTATAATATAGCACAGTAAGAAATCTATGTAATGTTTTCTTAATGTCTATTTAATGTATATAATGTTTAATGTATGTAATATTTTCTTAATGTAGGTATTGTTTTATTTGGATAAAAAATCTGTTTTATCAACATCGATCAAGTTCAGTCGTTGTTCCAGCATCCCTTTAACTCATTCATGATAATCGTAACAACTAGAGCCTGTATTCCATATATGCCTACCGATAATTATCGATATTATTAACTAAGACAATTCAAAGGCTTGTTCTTTTAAGCTGACTTCTTGCACAGTTTATTTTTTTCTTTTTACTCTTCAATGTGAAGAGAAAAGGAAGAAAGAATGATGAACTGTGTAAGAATTTTAGCTAAAAAGAACAAATACCAATCTTATATCAATGGCAACAATAAAAAAAGGAAAAAAGCACTGCTCTTATTCATGTATATAGAATAGTATTTTAGAAGTCTATAGTATAATAACTCAAAAATCATGTTTTATAATTATGTCATTTTTGAAGTAATTAAGGAAGCGATATAATTAAAAAATATTTTGCTAAATATTTCACATCATACTACGCTAAAGATAACAATTACATAATTGTTATCTTACTGTGATAATTATGTCTAAATGAGTGATATTCTAAATGAATGATATTCTCTGTTGTAATTATGTCTAAATGAATGAAATAGATTAATTTCGAATGAGTATAAAAAAAGGGGATATGAAGAATGTCCTAGAACTAAAAATACGAAAAGAGGGTAATATTATATAAAATATTATATAAAATATAAGTAAAAACATAAAATAAAATTTTATACGTGGTTTCATTTTTCGGAAAAACAATTCTGAATTTTATTTTATTATCTTAAAAATTGTTGGTGTGCATAATTAACAATTTTTAAGGTAATAAAATAAATTCTTATAAAGTAAATATTTTGTCTTATTATCTCTCTCTCTCTCTCTCTCTCTCTCTCTCTCTCTCTCTCTCCCCTCCTCCAAAGTATCCTTTTTAACATTAGTAATGTTTACAATCATAAACGCATTTTAAGTGCACACTTATCGTATACCTGACAAATGTATAAAGTTGTTTTTTAAAAAACGAAACTTTGTACAAAAAAATTTTATTTTAAATTTTTATATATTTTTTTCATTTAATAATATATAATTTCATTTTTTAGAATTATCTCCTTTCTATTATTAACTGTTGTTATATTATTAAGTATTGTTTCCTAGTATACCCTCTGTACGTATTTTTTAACAAAGAAAAATAAATCTTATACCGTGTAGCGGATTTGATTTCCTTTTGGATTGAACTTTCATTAAACGCTTTCGGGGCAATCAAAACTAATCTAGTCAGAATTATGTACTTTCTGCTTGCAAAAAATTCGATAGTGATAATTTTTGGATATGTTTTAAAGTTCGGTGTCTTAATACAATTCCAAGTTTTCCAACTTGACAGGCCGCCACTTGCGCTATCATCTTAGAAACTACCATTGAAAAATTTTTTTGCGTTATTTCCTCACAATGAGTCCTACAATAAAAATAACTATAATTAATCTTGTAGAGGAAAATGTTTCCTACAACTTTCGCCTAAAATTTTTTTTTTGTAATTTTAATGGATAACGAGCTGTAGCAGTGTAAAGTGGAACAGTTTAATGAAATTTCAAAGAAATTAAATTATGTTTTAGCAACTGACGTCCTTTAGTTAATTGTATAATGACTGGTATCATACAGAAAAAATAGAATAAATAATTAGTAAATTATTAATTATTACAATTAATTAATTACTGATTAATTGCTATAAACTTATTTCCATACCATTATAAAACTTATGGCGCGTTTTTTTAAATGTGA